TGGTAAGTGGTAACCATATGAGTCATAAATTTTACTGATGGAATTTTATAGGAATTTTACTTGTAAGTTATGGCGATGTAAGTGAAGATTTAAGGGCTTAAGTGATTTCGTGTGCTTGGAAAACGTGATTTACATCACGAAACAAGAGAAGATATCGATTTATTATTTAGGCCCGTTTTTGGGCGAATTTGTTCGCGCGAAGCGAAAACCAAATTTCGGCAATGTGATTGGTCAGCGAAAAAATTGGATCAGTTCCTACTCTTTTACTTGTCGCTTCGCGCGAACAAATTCGCCCAGTGGAAAACGTCATTCTAGTGATTGTCATCAGTGGCGCCGTGGCCGAGGGGTGGGGGCAGGGGGGGGGCATGGCCCTCCCCTATTGTTGACACCCGTCGGAAAATTGCCAATGCTGCCGGAAATTGTCGGAAAATTGTCAAGGTTGTCGGAAATTGTCAAAGTTGTCGAGGGGGGAGGGGGTGTGAAGGTTTAAAATGTTGTCGTCCGGAAAACTTTTTGTTTTGTCTGAAAATTTTTTCGATTTGTCGGAAAAGTACTGCCCTTGCCCCCCACCCCCCCCTCCCCCGATTTATACCGATTGCGTATGACGTCATTGACATCAACGAATGTTTTCACGATTTCATGTTTGTCAATAGAGCCCCCCCCCCGCCCCGCTTCGGTAAATTTAGTTCTACAGCACGGTGGAAAGCCTTGCAAAGTCTCTATTGCACTATTCGTCGACTATTCGTACTATTCGTCGACTATTCGCGGACTATTCGCACTATTCGTCGACTATTCGTCGACTATTCGCGGACTATTCGCGGACTATTCGCACTATTCGTCGACTATTCGCGGACTATTCGTACTATTCGTCATTATTCGCGGACTATTCGCACTATTCGTCGACTATTCGCACTATTCGCACTATTCGCTTCACTATTCTAGTTTTATCAATTGCCATATAAAATGTGTGTATTGAATATAAATTGTGTGTATTGAATTTTGCTACAATCCGGCAACAATAACTGGCTGCCAAGGCTTCTGAATAGGTTAAGGATGAGTGGATGATCCTATAAGAGCCCTCTTCTCTTCTGCAGTCTTTCTAAATCATCAGCCAGATATTGTGGAAGCCATAGATATCTTGTGGAAGCCCATTGTGAAAGACTGGGCAAGCATATTCGGTAATGGGGCGTATGCATGCATCTCACGTAAAATGTCAACAGTTCCTTTAATTTGTTGGAACATTTGCTCTCTTAATTTAGTTGTCTTCAGTTTAAGTGCGTACGTACAATTTCAAAGATATGGCGGTTCCATTTCAGGTCATCTGAGATGTTCAGGCCAAGCAGTTTTATGTGAGGAACTGATTCAATAGGCTTTCCATTAATAATAACAGGGGCGAAATCGCGAATTGTCTTAGCAAAGGATATTCATAGTTCTTTACATTTTTATTCATTTAATTGAAACTTATTCTGTTCGTTGCGACTTTTCTGCCAGTTCTGATGCTGCCAATTGAATATTACTTGTTTGATTTCTTTCTATAAGTTCGGTCATAGTCGTGTCATTCACATATTTCCATAAATATGTAGCGGTATGCCATCAATCATTAACACAAAAAGCCATGGAACAAGTTTGGTCCCTTGTTTGGTCCCTGCGGGTATGTTTTTCCATTCCGATGTGATCAGTACTGTAAACCTCCCGATATAATCCCCCCCGTGTATAAGTCCACCATATCATTAATATCCGAATATAACTCTCCCTCCCCCTCCCACCCCCCTCGAATATATAAGCCCTTCTGTGCATAAGCCCATGCAATGAGCTTTTATTATTGGAACGCGCGTATTTCTAACTTTCTGACCTTAGTTTGGAATATCACGAAACTTCCTCACAGGATAGAACTTGCCATTCCTAAAATCGTATTGTTTTTGTTTTTCGATTTTGTTACATTTTGGCGGGAAAATGACGTGCCAACTTTGGCACCAAAAAATTAAACCCGAGCTAAGAACATGCTAGTGACTTTTTTGATTAGAATGTCCTATGAGGATCTCAAAAGTGTAAAAACATTGAAAATACAACAAGGCAGTGCGAAGATATGGCGATTCAAAGTTCGAAAAAAATCTATTTTTAGTAACAAAATGGCGGATTTTTCAGACTTTTAAGCACCATATATTTGCCCTGCTTTGGCGTATTTTCAATGTTTTTACAGTTTTGAGATCCTTATAGGACAATCTCTTCAAAAAAGTTACTAGTATGTTCTTAGCTCGTGTTTATTTTTTGGCGCCAAAGTTGGCATGTCATTTTCCCGCCAAAATGTAACAAAATCGAAAAATAAAAACCATACGATTTTTAGGAATGGCAAGTTCTATCATGTGAGGAAATTTCGTGATATTCCAAACTAAGGTCAGAAAGTTATAAAAACTTGGCCCAATTTGCTGTCTTTTTTTCCCACCGTGACGTACGATAGGCAACATTTGGGATTATGTACATAGGGACGCATATCACAAAACGTCTCGAAAATCACAAAAAGTCTCGAAAATCACAAAAAGTCGGTCCTAGTTTTGTTTGAAACAGTATCAAAAGTCGGTCCCGAATTTCTTCTGTGTGAGAGTTGTATACCACATATGCCACAAATGTCTGGTGTAGACAGGAGCATTTTTTCCATCCAAATTCGTCGACTCGGTGCCGGAAAATGCGGGAGATCGCATTTCCGAGTCTCAATTTTGCAATATTTTTCGGGGTAGCATGCCTCCGGACCCCGCTAGTTTTCACCGCTCCTATTATGCTACTGTTTTACAGTTAAATCATGTTTTGCGTGTCATGTTTGCACTTGGCTGAAAATCTTAACTATGGTTCCCAACTTAACTAGAATTGATTAGCCTCTCCAACATAAAACCTGTGCCACTGCCCCTAGTTGTAAAGTACAAAAAAGTCGGTCCCAGATCGTTCGAGTCCCCCCACCCCCAGCAATTTGTTGAATATGCGCCCCTGACTGTACGTATACATTTCCTTTCGTTCACGATATAGTTTACATGTACACTATTAATAATAACACCAAATGTCGTCCATACATAAGTTCCCCGTATATCATCCCTCCCTCCCGATGTATAAATTATTGAAAATGCTTAGGAACTAATTGATAAGCCCATGGCTTATGTTCGGCGGTCAGTTACGGTATAACGACGTTCCACAGGAAAGCTAGTCAGACGAGTCAGTTCTCGTCTTGGATGGAAAGTTCGTTTTAAATTTATATCAGACAAATAAATCAAGATGGGTTACAGCTGGTAGGAAAGATACTGTGGGATTTCCGAATTTTTCAGATTAGAATCTGTCTGGTGATTTTCCGTTTAGAAATTTATATCAGACGGAACTCCGTCAGACATGTTTCCCGTCTTTGACGAGTAGATAGAATTCTAAAATGAATTTAGCAAACGCAAACATAATTAATACATCCATATCATATCCGTGATTTGCCCCTCGCATTAATCTTTTGTCACAATTCTGACAATTCGTCACCTATTCGTCGGTCTCATTGATTATAAGGTCTCCAAATTGGCAAAAAATCAAGCCGGCAAAGTTTTGCCGACTTGAAACGAAGCGTTGTCGGCATACGTGTATTTTAGTTTTCAATAAAATGATATTGTTGGCATTTTACAATCCAAATAGTACTGTATAACTCAAGACAAAAACATTACATTGTTTGTTCCTACGAAAAGTTCGGCCTTACATTTTCCTTAATTAAACTTAAAATTAAAATTGAAATATTATGTAAATACAAGAATATTGCTGCATCTGCTTCTCTTGTTTGCTCTGAATTCCCATAAAAAATTATAATTGCAGATCGGCGACTTTTTCAGCGCTGATCTGTCATGATGATTGGTCGGCAATCATGCATGTGCCAATTCCCGACCGTGCCAAAACCTGCCACTCACTACTGATCTCTATAGAAAACTGCGTTGTGAAGGATATACAACTACCTCCGGAAAATATAAGCAGAACTTCAACGTTTCGAGCGAACACCCTTCGTTTGGCTCGAATCGTCGAAGTTGCATGTGCTTATACATCAGATAGTTGTCTCTACCTACAATGGCATCGACCGTACTTACCTATATACACTATCAGATGCATGTGAAATGCTGGGGTATTTAACATTTATAACATCAGAATATAAAAGTTAACAATATATAAAGAGTTTAAGATCTACGACTCGGCTGGCTCAATGACGCAATCTGAATTCCAGCTCAAGAATGAGCGCTAAACAATTTGTTTACTGTATTAAATTAAATGTTTGAAGCTTTTTCAAATAATTAACTTTACAAACGGCTATGTTCGGTTTGCTGTAATCAGTTCGACTTTAAGTAACACCCATTGGGCATGGATCGTAATAAGCTCTTACTCGTTGCTTGAAATACGTGATAATGCTTAGTTTAACGTTGTGTTGACGACAAACCTCTTGAGAATAACCCTGGAATCACAAAGTATTCCGCGCAGTCGTTGTCTTGCATGACAAGTTTCTTTGATTCGAAAGGGCGTCGTAAACAGGCCACGTACTCGTAGATCTTAAACTCTCCAATGGTTTCATGCACCGAATATAATTACGTGGAAGATTCCGTTAGTACTTCCCCTCTTATATTATTATAACCAGGCATTAAAATAGCGTGTCCTTGTACACACTTTGTGTCCTTGTAAAAGGCGAATGTGCCCTTGTAAATTGAAAAGTGTGTACTTGAAAATATATTAAACTGAAAATATGTTAATGTAATCCACGCAAAATGGCCAAAGATTTTGCAAATTCTGTTCTCAGAACTCTGGAAATGCCATTTCAGAGACCCCCTTAAAAGCTTGCGTCTTCGACGCTAAACTTGTGGCTTCGGCACTCGTTCTCGTGAGTCTGCGCATTTATACCAAAAATACGCCTCTGAAGGCAAAGTGTGTCCTTGTAAAAATTCCGTATTTTAATGCCTGATTATAACTCTGCATCATGGGTCTCGTTCATGTCGAGATTTTACAGATCTCTTCGTTGTCTTTGCGTTTTGAAGAGCCGTCAGTATTACCACCACGACTGTCGTCGTTAGTGACTTCCGTGTGTGGCGCCTCAGAGATCTCTTGAACGATTCGACGTCTTCTCGAAAGTTTATACTTCTTCACAAAATACAACATAATGCAACATACGCCAACAATTATGAGCACAGGAACAACTACGAGCGGTATAAAATCTTCCTCTTGTTCGTTTTTACGTCCGGCAGATGTTGTATGATGATAGAATGACAAAGATGAACTGGCAATTACAGACTTTGTGGGGTCAATGCCGAATGAATGATACTGGTCACCCATTTTCTTGTTGATATTTTCGACTTTGGTCCTGTGTTTGCTAAGTAAATTAATAGCTCATTTATAATCCAGGTGTAAACAGACCGTGTAGTTTTTACAAAATTCAATGACCGAACGAAGTTGTTTGTAAGTCAATGAGAATTCAGGGATGTTCACAAATACCAGAAAATTCTATTCAGGCAAATGTTCTAGAATTGTCTCGACAAATTACAAATAAATTTGAACATAAGATAGAAAATCTTGCGCAAGCCTTGAACATTAAAATTGTCCCTCAATTATACCATGTGAAGTCGGATTTCTTTTCGCAGTATAATCTTTTTTCGCTCTTGTGATATTGGTAGCTCTTGTACGTTTTTTATGTGCGTATTCTTTAGTATATTCTTGAATAGTATATCTTGTTTTCTTTTACTGTTAATTCACTTCATCAATTTGACTGCGCCGGAGAATTAATTAACCGCAGCTGTCTTGCAATTGTAAATGACATTGTATATGAACTTTATTAATTTTGTAGAACAATTAAGCTGCCAGGCTCATTCTCGGCTCACTATCGCAACACAACACGTGAATTTCGATCTGACAATAATCATGCATGACTGGAATACTGAATATTGATTATGGTGGGCCAACCCTCGACAGTGGCGCCGCCAAGGGAGAGAGAAATGTCAGCATACAGTGCTGCGTATCTACTGGATTTTGTTCTAATATAAAAGCTCTATGTGACTATATCTCTCCCACCGAATTAAATTGTCAAGTATTCTGAAATTAATATTTGACATTTTAAATTAAAAGGTGAATAGGTGATTTTTTAAGACCTTTTTCACGTTTTTCGGCTCCAAGTGGCTCCACAATACAGGAAATACTCAAAATTTGTTTTTCCCTGGGGAAGGGCATAACCTGCATGACCCCCCCCCCCCCCCCAACGGGGAT